TTAGGCCTCCCGTGCCCCCTCACCCCTAGAAAGATTTATGATGCATAAATACAATCAACTATAATAAAGCAGAGATCAAAGTTAACTACAGCGACACTGTGCCGACCTCCATATTTATCCTGTTTACACAACAGTTGGAAGAGTCAGAATAAGGCTTTAGAAATACGTCAGAAACATCAACACATGCTAACCTGTTTAATTCTGTTTCCTATTGTCTGCGATATATTCAATCAGAACGTTACGACCCTGATGAAACACAAACAGTTATTATACCAAAGTACACTGTTGTAAATTTAAGCACAATAGTTAAATGGTAAATTGACCCTTTTATTGCCGTGAATCGAAATCTCATACCCCGAAAATCTCTTAAGCATGGTTCAGTGTCGATGAAACGACTGGAATGCCATAACTTCCACTCCAAAACATTCGTTCCAATGCAATAAAAAACGTTCCGCGTCTAGCGTAAAGATACACCGTCTGAGTATGCATCATTGTCGTATCCACTGCGCGCCAGCTTGTTTAGCAGATTTAGTGTGTAAATGGCTTGTAGTCGCTGACTCTTAGGAGGACAATCATATAGATCTGGGGTCTATAAGGTCCTCACAAAGGGACTTGTGCGTATATCTGGCCCGTCAGGCTTTGACAGAATTCTAAGGTCTCTTTGACCTCTTACAAACAAGCCGGTTTTCTGGGAGACATTTTAACGACCTACAGGGACAAGATCATAACACAAGAGGTCCCCAGGCCTTTGTTGAGCAGTCTCTCATTGCTATCAGAGATGTAGACTTCAACAAGTAATTGTAACTTGAATATACCGAGCCTTCTACTGTCACAGAGACTTGTGAAGTATAGACTGACGGCAGCCCTTTACTTAGGTCCCCATTAGAACTCATAGGTCAAAAGTAGCGCCATAGAGGTCACAACCTTTAACCCTAACGCTATTTATCACCGGGCGGTCTTATGAGATAGAATAGCTTCGGTGTTTATGTACTTTAAGAATTATTTGTCGGGTCAGCAAATGATATATGGTTTTGATCACAGGTCTGGACACAAGTATAGTATTGTTTGTCCAGCGACAATAAAGTCTGACCCAAGCGGTGGATATAAATACCTCGCTCTTGAAAAAGGTAGTAATCTTGTGGGATCTTTTGTGTGTAGTGTTGAAAGCGAGAAAATATTATCCATATGTTATTTACCTGAGAACAAATACGGGTACTTTTCATGTTGACAATTTATTTGGCAGGGTATATTTTATACTCGTAAAAGGGCAGCACGACAATTTGTGTCTCAGCGTTGTCATGTTTCGCTGAGTACATTGTTCGGATGCTGAAGAATAGAATGGGCACAAACGCTATCTGGGCTACAAATGCTTGGGTGTTTCTAGTTTTGACTTGCAGTTAATGAGTCTTTTAAACAAAGTAAACAGCTGTTATGTTTGATGAACATTGCTTCATGGTAATATCTTCACATCTTACAGACAGAAGGTTAGCGTGACCTGATGAAAGAAACTTCAGTGATATGATTTTGAATAACTTGTTAAAAACTAAATTATCAGAAAAGGTTTAAGTAAAAACAAAATGATAGGAAACACGTTTATTTGTTTATCATTAAATGTTTCCAAAAAAAAGATATCTATGAACTGTTGGGCGTTAAACGTGGCAAAAGTACTCTTCAGCCCAGGTTTTGGATTCGCATGGATAGATAGAGCAGGGCGTTTAATGTGGTAAATGTTGTCCTAAAAGTTTCAAACAAAGATGCGTTGATGTTGATCACGAGTTATGTACTAAATTGAAGTTTTACAGAGATATAGAATCGTAGAAAAATGTAAAATATAATTATCGTATAACACTCTGTAAATTAAGATGTTATACTCCGCGTTAATGATTGATAACAAGGAAACACAATATTTCATCAAGTGATGTGTGTTATATGTACCTGTACAGGTTTAAGATACGTTACTGCCATATCATAGTAATTACCATCATGTAAACAATCAGTATTTTATTTACAAGGGATTGTTTCATTATTAATTGCCTAGCACAGGGTGTATGCCTAGGTTGAAAGATACATTCTTATGTCCAACAAACCAAATGCAATACTGAATAATATTTTATGTAAGGTGTATGAAGAAATAAGTCAGTGACCTTCTTGCTGGTCATTGTACCAATGACAACTATAAATGTCAACAATTTAAATAAACGAAATTACAAAAGGTCGTTTTAGCACAAAACAATTGTAACAAGAACAGTTATCTGAACAGGCGGTTGTTTATAACTGAACAAGCGTAAGAGGATTGATTTGGCGTTGTATTACGCAAAATATCAGTCAAATTATTATTAGTATATCCAATATATATCACGTAAATAATACAGGTCTCACATCTCACGATGTAGCAGGGGTCAACGAAATATACAATGTGGGTTATCTATTCTATTATAAAATCAGAAGGGGCGGTCGGGTAGCCTAGTGGTTAAAGCGTTCGCTTGTCACGCCGAAGACCCGGGTTCGATTCCCGACATGGGTACAATGTGTGAAGCCCATTCCTGGTGTCCCCCGCCGTGATATTGCTGGAATATTACTAAAAGCGGCGTAAAGCCATACTCACTCATTATAAAATCAGAATATATATTTAGGAGGAAATACATAACCAACCCTGAATTGGATGTTTCTAAAAGCGTATTATGACGGTTGAGAGGCCAGGGAGACACAAGGGTCATCCACCTTCAAATGGCCAAAATTTAACTGAACCGAACTGACATCATTTGCTGTCGACTAGGGCGTCATCGTTCACATCTCTGGGTCCAAACAGGAACCAATTGGAACCAATTCTCTATCAGATGCTGAAACAAATCACCAGCAATCAGGAACTGCAAAAGTCTTTGATGGACATTCAGAAATTGGGAGCTACTTTTTGAAAAGGGCAAATATATTAACAGAAATTAAAGAACATCCGATTTTTTTGTATGACCATAGTTAATATGTCATGGTCTGGCGCTCGGCATTAAGGTGCTAAAACAAGGACTGGTCGGCTCGGAGTCAGTATACTGTGTCTGAGTGGGGTATTCATGCTAAACTGCGGCATGGTATCTCAGTGAGCTAGCACTATAAATCGGCATCAGTCCGGACTAGTACAAGCAGCCACACAAACACACACACGTACATGCACGTCGCTATATAAGTGCAATAATCATGGACGCGACGTTAAACCTCATTTCACCTGACCTCATATGTCACGGCAAGACCGATAAATTAGTAATATGGAATCGGGTGGTCCTGAACATCTTTTGAGTTGTACATATACTTGAATCAAATAGTTAACCATATACAGATTGAGAAAATGTTCCTTTCTGCTTTAAGTTAGAAAGATATGTACTAAATTGCGAGTATTTAGTGTCCTTACATAGCCACACAACCGCCGGTTATTTTCGGAATATCATGTAAAAAAAATACATTGTTCCCTTAATGTCGGGTGCCTTATTTCTTTACTTCAGTATATTTACAACTCATCTTCATCTTTTTGTCATCATGCAAATGATGGATGATGAATTATGCAACACAACTGCATTTGATAACGTTTCTGAATGGCATATATATATATATATATATATATATATATATATATATATATATATTAGTCGGACATTCACTCTGCTGTGCATAACAAACGTTGTCCCGTTGACGGCGTAGCACGTGCGGATACGTTTACGTCATGGCCCCACGCTATGCTCTGTAATTATTTGACGTTATTTTCAAAGATATTAAAGTAATCACCGCGCCTTCTCCTGACCACATTACGTAATTGTGTTGCATATTTTCTCGACACCTCCCACTGAAGTGTGCGTTTTACTTCCATCTGTAAATTACTCCCCTTTGCAAGGAAGCTTATTCGAGCATTAACCACCCTTAAAATAACACTAATTTCTTTGTGGGATATGCACGAGATTAACAAAAAACGATGCAACCTTAATAAAGATCTATTCACCTGAGCTAAATAAAATGGATTGAAAATGAGAGTGATTCGATATAAATTAATAGGGCTTTTCTTTCGGCAATCAATTTGGCCCGTATCCGCACAGGCCATCTGACATTGTGGTATTACAGTATGAAGCATTTATGACGCCCGACTACTGGACCAAATGAGAGATCGTTACAAAAAGCTAACAAAAACATTTTTATGATCACCACTCAAATCGGACTATTTCATAACACTGCATTGACAGTGCACAACTTCATGCAGCCGAACGTCCACAGAAGCCCGGCCGAATCTATTGTACACGTTTCCGTTCCAACAACAGCAAATCAAAGATTATTTAAGCATGTTTTGGTTTTCAAGAGAATGGTACGGCACGTCTTGTGCGGGATCGTTGTCGCTGCTCCCCTGTCAATAAGCAGTGAAATTATTGTAAACTGATGCACAAATTATGCAATTTGATATCAATTTGTTGGTAAGAGATCCGTTCAACCGCTACAAAGAGAAGATAGGATTATAGAACCCCGGAACCTCTTTCATCATTTTCCCTAATTAAGGTGAGGTTTGCACTTGTAATTACGCTTTGCAGCATTCTAATTTCTGACAAAAATTACCCTTAACCACAATTTATTTGCGGCTTCAGCGTCTGTCGGTCTCTTAGGTTCATGTCGCCGACACCGCGGTCATTCACAATGAAAAGGTGTGGGAGCTACATAGGTGGCGGCCGTGAGGTGAGGGGTGGCATAACGTGCGGCGTGGCATGGACGTTGGGGCACCTACTGGTGGGGTGGGTGGGACGTGTGAGGGTAGTAGGGTGATTTGGGTAAGATTAAGAGATTAGTTTGTGGGAGAGTCAGACTTGAGTGGATGGCTACAGTCAGCAACATGACCGCTATATCGCGGCGGCCTGTACGTCATCGAGTCTGGACAAGGCAACCATTGGGTGATCGCATGAGCAGAATACACGTAGGTCACATTGACATACAGTGAGCCAGAACATACATTGTAATCATCCTAGTTCAGTCGGCTCTTACCACGTGGATGGGCGCTGGGCGTTATACTGCTTTGTGAATCTAGATGGTTTGAACGGCATGACTGGTGGTTGGTGTTGATCAGAGAGGCAGTGCATGCGGTTCTGGTTGATTTCTGGAATTGTGTGGTGTCGGTTGAGTTGGTGACTGGTGACAGGGTTGGTGGCTGTAGTAGTGGTGGTGTGGGCTGATGGGGTGGTGACAGGGTTGGTGGCTGTAGTAGTGGTGGTGTGGGCTGGTGGGGTGGTGACAGGGTTGGTGGCTGTAGTAGTGGTGGTGTGGGCTGGTGGGGTGGTGACAGGGTTGGTGGCTGTAGTAGTGGTGGTGTGGGCTGGTGGGGTGGTGACAGGGTTGGTGGCTGTAGTAGTGGTGGTGTGGGCTGGTGGGGTGGTGACAGGGTTGGTGGCTGTAGTAGTGGTGGTGTGGGCTGGTGGGGTGGTGACAGGGTTGGTGGCTGTAGTAGTGGTGGTGTGGGCTGGTGGGGTGGTGACAGGGTTGGTGGCTGTAGTAGTGGTGGTGTGGGCTGGTGGGGTGGTGACAGGGTTGGTGGCTGTAGTAGTGGTGGTGTGGGCTGGTGGGGTGGTGATAGGGTTGGTGGCTGTAGTAGTGGTGGTGTGGGCTGGTGGGGTGGTGACAGGGTTGGTGGCTGTAGTAGTGGTGGTGTGGGCTGGTGGGGTGGTGACAGGGTTGGTGGCTGTAGTAGTGGTGGTGTGGGCTGGTGGGGTGGTGACAGGGTTGGTGGCTGTAGTAGTGGTGGTGTGGGCTGGTGGGGTGGTGACAGGGTTGGTGGCTGTAGTAGTGGTGGTGTGGGCTGATGGGGTGGTGACAGGGTTGGTGGCTGTAGTAGTGGTGGTGTGGGCTGGTGGGGTGGTGACAGGGTTGGTGGCTGTAGTAGTGGTGGTGTGGGCTGGTGGGGTGGTGACAGGGTTGATGGCTGTAGTAGTGGTGGTGTGGGCTGGTGGGGTGGTGGTGTGGGCTGGTGGGGTGGTGACAGGGTTGGTGGCTGTAGTAGTGGTGGTGTGGGCTGGTGGGGTGGTGGTGTGGGCTGGTGGGGTGGTGACAGGGTTGGTGGCTGTAGTAGTGGTGGTGTGGGCTGATGGGGTGGTGACAGGGTTGGTGGCTGTAGTAGTGGTGGTGTGGGCTGGTGGGGTGGTGACAGGGTTGGTGGCTGTAGTAGTGGTGGTGTGGGCTGATGGGGTGGTGACAGGGTTGGTGGCTGTAGTAGTGGTGGTGTGGGCTGGTGGGGTGGTGACAGGGTTGGTGGCTGTAGTAGTGGTGGTGTGGGCTGGTGGGGTGGTGACAGGGTTGGTGGCTGTAGTAGTGGTGGTGTGGGCTGGTGGGGTGGTGACAGGGTTGGTGGCTGTAGTAGTGGTGGTGTGGGCTGGTGGGGTGGTGACAGGGTTGGTGGCTGTAGTAGTGGTGGTGTGGGCTGGTGGGGTGGTGACAGGGTTGGTGGCTGTAGTAGTGGTGGTGTGGGCTGGTGGGGTGGTGACAGGGTTGGTGGCTGTAGTAGTGGTGGTGTGGGCTGGTGGGGTGGTGACAGGGTTGGTGGCTGTAGTAGTGGTGGTGTGGGCTGGTGGGGTGGTGACAGGGTTGGTGGCTGTAGTAGTGGTGGTGTGGGCTGGTGGGGTGGTGACAGGGTTGGTGGCTGTAGTAGTGGTGGTGTGGGCTGGTGGGGTGGTGACAGGGTTGGTGGCTGTAGTAGTGGTGGTGTGGGCTGATGGGGTGGTGACAGGGTTGGTGGCTGTAGTAGTGGTGGTGTGGGCTGATGGGGTGGTGACAGGGTTGGTGGCTGTAGTAGTGGTGGTGTGGGCTGATGGGGTGGTGACAGGGTTGGTGGCTGTAGTAGTGGTGGTGTGGGCTGGTGGGGTGGTGACAGGGTTGGTGGCTGTGGTAGTGGTGGTGTGGGCTGGTGGGCTGGTGACAGGACAGGGTTGGTGGCTGTAATTGAGGAAGTGTGTGTGTGTGTGTGTGTGTGTGTGTGTGTGTGTGTGTTTGTGTGTGTGTGTGAGAGAGAGAGAGGGAGATGGTAGGAATGAGGTGGTTTTTAGATGTTAGAATGTGTAATGGGTTGGTACTTGTTGTAGTTTCGGTGTGGATGGGTGGTTAAAAGTACTTTTTACAATTCCTGATGACACTGACGGTCTGAAGGGTAGATTGAGTTACACTGGCAGTACAGTTCTGATTGAGTTCTAAAGACAGTTTTCTTCTTGGTGTGATAGGAAGGGGTGTTAGTTACAACAGGTGTGTGGTGGATCAAGCCGTTGTTGAATGAGTACATCTATATCAGCTTCGAATCTGCTACAACGTACCCGAAGATTTCATTCTGTTGTTGCGTCACATAAAAAGAGAAAATGGATGACTAATAGAGCCATTAGTAGAAGGACAATAACTCATGAAATTTGACTGTTCATTCACGTGTTCAATAATTTTTGAAATTCAGATTACATTAAATTATAATCAGTGGGGAATTGGCGTAAAGAAGAATGCTATAACAAAATTAAACGTTTTCCAAAACGGTTATTTTCATCACAAAGGTAAAATGCTTTCATGAATATTAATAATGATGACGAATAAAAAAAACTGTGAACAAACAATGCCAAACTTTTTTATCTTGCGATTGAGTACAAAGTCTCTCCAAAGTAACATAAAATTCCTGACACAAATCCGGTTGGAAAACCTGTTTCAAAGCGCCTATAAATCATCTGAAATCAGATCTGTAAATCTCTAGACAAGGATCCATGTTGTTTGAATCATTAATCAGCGCCGCGTATCTCTGTCACCCAATAGCTATCACCCATCGCCGTAACTGCGAGCCTGCAATCACTTAACCAATCAAAACCTGCGAGGGGTCACAATCACTCGATCGTTACCGGTCATTATTGGGCGATGATTGGATAGTCAGCAGGCGGTCGTATGTGATCATTACGTTGACCACTGGTCATTACTAACACTCCATAATTCATCGCAAATTGACCGCCTGGACTGAATGGTCATTTTCTGGAGTTAGAATACACGCGGTTAGAATGGGCCAGTGATTAGATAATAGAACAGGGGGTCTGAAGCTGCGGCGGCCGGAGCGCTCGGACACTGGGACAGCTGGTCAGATTTGGGACAAGCTATAATCATCTTGTTATTGCAGGAGATACAATCATACTGTACCTGGCCAAGGATGGTCTGTTCAAGAAATGGGATATTTTCTGTTACGATTTTCAAGAGCCTTATAGGGACCGGATGCTAGGTTACATCGTTTTAAGCTCTCTTGTAATTCTGGGATTTTCTGGTGATGACACGACTTGATACAGAAGCAGTGTCGGTCTCTGACTACGCCCACATCAGTTTTCGTTTGAACCCCTTCTTCATCAGGAACATTTCGTTGATTCTGTTTAGTTTGCAGATGTTCTTAAAGATAAAACAATGTACATTTAAGCAAATAACAGACGTTCCAAACTATATAAAAACACTCTAAAGGAATATGATAATTTTATATGCTTAATCTTTCTAAATAATAAACTATAACAAAACATTTAAATGGTAAATCAAGAATTGTGTCAACGTTGCTTTTGAAGAGTGACATCTTACGTTTCAGTACCTTTGATCCATGATTAAATGGTATCATCACTATCAAATAAATCACTAAAAATCGCATGCTTATGATATAGCGTACAAAGGACATAGTTTAGCAGAGATTTCTTACGATTATGGAAAGTGTTTTGCTGCTTTTATTCATAATTTTCTTCATGCTTGTTATTTGTAATGAAATACATACGAAATCTACATAGCTTCGTCAAACAGGATTTCGGACCCAGAAAGGTGTAACGTGTTCTTTACGAAACTTGTTATTTTTGCCTATGGTTTGATCTTAAATTACTTGGTGTACTGTCAAACTTTTCTTGACAAAATCCTTTCGCCACTGACTCATTGTTTACGGCGTAAAACAAATTTAACAATTAAAAAGTTCAGTTTGGAGACACTGATGAGTCTTAGACTGGCCTATTCTGGCACAGTGTCCTGACTGTGTCGACCTGGATTCTCTTCGACTTGACGGACCGGTACATCTGCATGGGATTAACAATGGACGTGCCATGTCGCACTTTCGCACATCAGTTCAATCTTGCAACCACAATCGTTATGCGACTTCTAAACAAATTATTTACAAAGGCTTGTGGTTTTATGGCCAAATAATTGCGTCTAAGTCGATACGGTTATATTAACGATGGATAGCCTGTGTAACGGTTGGGGAAGAGATCAGATAAAAGTTATTACAGAATGCCGTAATCAAGGCCAATTAAGGGATTTCTCGCTGCAATAAAACGTCCTTATCTATTGGTGGTAATCAGTAATGTTATAAAGAAGTTCCGGTGTTAAAAAAACATGGATTGTTTCAAACGAGCTCCATGGGTTATAAGACCTACAATGAAAGTGATGATTACGCTGACTACGGAAGTGTTTTATTTTCAGCAGTTCCTGATTATGAAAATTGGAGCAAATATAGCTTCATTGACCGAGGGGATATCCCGTACAGTCATGTTGCGCAAGCATGTTGACATGGGGTCGTGGACATTAAAAGCCCCATTGGTATTGTCAACAATGCCATTTTACGATGTTAGTTTCATTTAATAGTTAATATCCAGTTGTTATAGTTTCCTTAAGGTGCGCTTGTTGAGTTTGTTATTAAATCAAATTAACTTTGGGGGTCCTATATTAAAAAACGGCTTTGTTATTATATCGGTGACTATTAGCAGGGCATTGTTTCAAATTATAATTTTATATGAGGGGGTGGTAGGGGGTAGAGGCTGGGGTGATGTAGGGTAGTACTCAGTGGGGTGGGATTAGGGGGTAAGGTTGAGGTAGAGCCTTAGTGGAAGGACGACAGCAGTACGATAGATGGTTGGGTGGGCTAGGGGGAGGGTCGAAGGGGGGTAGGTAGGTGTGGGCATGGGGTATGGTAGGGAAGGTAGGTGAATAGTAGGAGGAGAGAGGGCAGAGGGGACAAGCGACAGGTAAAGAAGACAGACAGGGGAGGTAGGTGTAGAAGAGGCAGGGCTAAGGTAGTGTTGTGTAGGGAGTACGGTAAGGTAGGCTGGAGGTAAGGTGGGAAAGGCAGGGTATGGTAAGGTAGGGAGGGGATAAGGTGTAAGGAGGTGTAACGTCGCGTCCAAGACTATTGCTCTTATATAGCGACGTGCCTGTGTATGTGGCTGCTTGTACTATTCGGGACTGATGCCGATCTATAGTGAGTGCTAGCCCCTTGAGATACCATGCCGCAGTTTAACATGAATACCCCACTCAGACACAGTATTCTGACTCCGAGCCGACCAGTCCTTGTTTTAGCCCCTTAATGCCGAGCGCCAGAGAGGGTAACAAGTACCATCTTTTAACTTCTTTTGGTATGACGCGGCCGGGGATCGAACCCCGGACCTCCCGCTCTCCAGGCGGACGCTCTACCACTAGACCACGGAGGCTGTCCAAGGTAGATATAAAGCCAATAGGGGATAATATACAAGGATGGTTATAGGAGCACATGTGAAGGGATCTGGTAGAGAGATCAGAAGCGCTACTGGTTCTATGGAAGATGGGGTAACATTGTGAGGGGACATGGTCTGAAATATGGGTTGGGAATCTTTTCGGAGGTAGGTATAGGAGTGGAAGGGGACTCACTGGGAGAGATAAGTGTGGGGGTAATAGTGGACAGGGGTTAAAGTAGGGTATGGTAGGGGTATGGGCAGTACACCACAGCCCCGGACAATTATATAATCTGTCAATTTGGATCTTACGAATGAGAAAAAGACGTGTACTCCAAAATGAAATGTTGGATCTGGGTGTTAAACTAATTGCATGTCGTAAATATTCCCCGGGTGACGGTGGGAATTAGACGTTTCTATTGTGTTATTCAAGATCCAACAGTACACAAGTGGTCAGTTCGGTGTTTCTGGCACTAAATGTCACACCTGCGCATTGTCTTACTTGTCGGAAACGATAACGACAATAGCGACGCGGATACAGACCGGATTACGACCAACACTACTTGACGACATGGAAGACGTCACAGGCTATACATTGTGGAGGCAAACCACCCAGCACCTATACGTCATCCACTAACGCGACCACGGCACTTGAAAGGATGGCTTTTCAACAATCACTGTGCATGCTAAATCAAATCTTGATCGTGACCGTGGTTTATTCTTTTCAATTCCAATAGAGCCATGCTGGGGGTACGGCCAAAACGTGAATGATAACAATAGGTCGAATTGGGGATTTCGCCCTGCTAAGTTTGGAATGAGGGAATTTAGGGTTTCGCTCCTTACGGTCGAGAACACCCTATGTCGTAATGCGGTTGTCTATTGTTCGACTCCTAGCACCCCCAATAGGCAAGTTATCAACGCTATCTTCTTTAAAATTATGCTTTTAAAGAATGGAAAAGTTCCCGGCTGAGATGACAATAAATTGCGGGGCCTCCGGTAGAAGAGCTTTGAGCTTACCATTCGGTTATTGTTATATTGGCGCTTGGATCATTCAGACAAAAGGGGGGAGGCACTGCAGCGGGGGGAGAACGCTAGGGTTAAATGGGATTATTTGAAGCTTGATGAAAGCAAAATTCTTTAGAAAAATGAGAATTTGGTGTCGAGAGGGTCAAAAGGTCGTTTGGGATTGTCAGTGGCGGAGGCTTAAGACGTGTAATTCACCAAAACAAACTTAAATCTTTCACTGGAAATAAACATTGCAATGGCTATCCCATTGAGGGTAGACAAGTCAGTGGTTTGATGAAGTGACCGGCATAATGAAGTTGTTTATAGCATCCGGTAAGACGTGTCTGGTCTGGTGAAAGGTCATGTATCAATCTTTCTCAAACAGAAGATCAGAGAGGATAAGATAAGAGAGGAACTGATCTGGACATGATATACGAGTATATTTAGCTTGTCACATATTCAAAACGGTTATGTGTATTAATTCTTATTTCGCTTTCGTTTAGAATATCACAACGCTGTGTCAATGCATGATAGACATGCTTATCAAATATAGTCGCCGCAAATCCGTTTCTGACATTACAATACAATTACGCATTTTACATTTTCATAATTATACACATAGATCAAAGAGGTATTCATATAATCTCCGCAATGTTTTGAAACAGGTCATTCAAACAATGCTTTACTGATCATAAAATGTTTCTTTTCGACATCACTATAACAAATGCTAACTACCAAGGGACAATGTCTGAAAATCAAGTAAGACATTTATTAGGCACCAGAACATGGAATTGAGCCGACTCATCAACAAACAACAGCTTTGCGCTTGGACGTTTCTGAAACCCTTGCATAATTAAACTGGAAACACAGTAGCCGCCTTAGATCGACTGTATCTTAATTACAGATAGTTAAGTTAAGTAGGTGAGTGAGTGAGTGAATGAACGTTGTTTTACGCCACAGCGAGCACCATTCCAGCTATGTCACTGCTCACTGTGAATAATCGGTTCTGGATCAGGCAAACAAGTGACTGTCTTATTGGGCACTAATTCACGCCGACGGAGCACTCTTCTGCCACGGATAACAATAGGAGTAGGACAGACTTGCTACTGCAGTTTATAGAACCAATGTGAAATATGTGTACGACTCATGACCTTTAAGGCCTTGATTCATCATCATTCAAATACAAAAATCAATTGTTTATAGTGCTGAAAAGGAACATTTCGTGGGCATGTAATTACGTATACGATGGACGTACTAGAAGTCTGGACTATACACGCAGACCATTTGATTGCTACGAAACTCCCCAAACATAAATCACTGATCATGGGTATCAAAATTCATTATTATAATTAATCCGTTATCAAAACACTCTTCCATTGTCGTCAAGACAAATGACCATGATAGCCGCGCACTAATCAGCAAGTTATGGATCATAATTCATACATTCTACACCCCCGTTTGTCTACGACCAGTACTAAATATCCATGTCTCGAGTACGACCCGCTTAGTGAGTCAATCATATGAACCACAGGCCCCCATAACCACGATCCTACTACTATTGTATTTTCAAGGGGTTATTTTTTTCTGGTCATGAAAAGGTCAACGGGCAGATGTCTCTATTTCTTGTTGGCTTTGATGATGACAAAACATGCCCTGCACGGTCGGGGAATTATGAAGATGTAAGCGTGCTGGGGTCAAGTTAACCTACCCCCGCCTCTTCTTAATGACCATCGGCTAGCCGTAGGTCAAGATATGTCAGTAGGCATGTGACCAGGTCGCCCACACACGTGTACATTTAGACTATGTGCTTGCTTCAGTGGACACTGCGGGAGGCATTGGTATTGTGATGTGTGTCTGTGTTAGTTTTTGTGTGCCTTTGATGAGAAGATTAGGATGAACATTATATTATACTGTATTGTATTGTTATTTAAACAGGAAACTGTGGAATGTGTCGTAATATTTTTAAAAACAACTGATATTAAATATTCACAACATTAACAAAATAAAAATAATAACAGGTCATACCAAACACCTTATGTTGTGCAAAATGACAAATGTCTTGGTATATCTGTGTCAGTATGGGTTTTGATGTGCCTTTTGATGTGAGAAAATAAGCCCGAACTGAGATTCTAT